CATTTTGTCATGTGCTACACCAGCAAGAAACGAGCGCTTAAAAACTCTAGACAGCTTCTGATTTCAATTAGCCACACGGATATCAAGAACTTCCGTTTTTTTTTTGGATAGTTGAAGCCTTTAGTTCATTTGAGGCAAATTGATTTCTACTTTAGTTTTCTTTACAGCTCATCTTTTTATCTAGAGGTCAAAGAATGGAAGAAGGAGAGTAAGGGCTACGCATATTGACAACAAAAGATGTAATTCAATTAGTGGGTGTTTATGGTGAAATGGAGTTAGCATAGGAAGCATGGAAGAAACACATGAAATACTGGAATTTTGGGCAGAGAAAGGTCTGACTTCGATGATAGAGAAGGTGAAGATGGACTGACTATATAAACAGGGCATTTGAGGGTATTGGATGTCGCTGGCAGCAACCTTGAATGATTCAAAGGCCATTTTCCTGTAAACACCATATCTTAATAATGTATATTTTACTGATCAAAATCATTCACATTAGTCCAAAGGATTGATTTTGTACTTTTATTTACAAAATCATTTTCAATAATATGTTAATTTGAGAAATAAAAAACATAAATCAAGCCATAAGTAGAAGAGAATATGCTAATTAATCATGAAACTCTGCCACTAATCTATTATCTGACAATGTAGAGATGATAGAACAGTTTTCAATGTGCCTATTCATCTTCCCTTTTCCCCAAATCATTATATCAACAATAAGAAGAAAAACTATTTTTCCAGAAATTGAAATAACAGTATTCATAAAAAAAATGAAAAATATAATTTGTAAAAGATCAGAACAACTAGCTCCCATATAAAGAGTGCTAATAACGAGGAAGGATTTAATGCCTGAAAGAAATTCAATGATCTCTTTGCAATGAGATTTAGCTCCAAACTGAAAAAGTTCTTTTGTCTACACTAAAATTTTGTCAGTGTCCATTCTTGAAGGCAAGAGGAGTGATGGAACATAGCCCACCAGATTTGTTGGTTTAAGCAAACCCTCAGGTATTGAAAGTTTATTATCTTATGCAAAAACCTGGTTTGAAAGGCACACATACTAACATCAGTTTCTATTGACAGAGAACATTCCAATACACTCGTACTTTATTTAGTCCCTCCAGAAAGATCAAGTTTTATATCGTTATGGAACTATGTAATATATTTGAGATATCAAGATGGCAATTCATGGTGAGGGCTTAACCACTGTTGTATGTACGTTCTTGCTTTCCTCCTGTTATGAAATAGTAGTAGAAAAGTAAAGAGAAGTTTGTCTACTTGTTGGAGATCAAAGAAACGAAATAGTACAAAAATCACGTGTATTAACAAATGGCAACTTGAGCCATATAAGAATAAGAAATTTCCGAATCCCAACTCTATTTATTTAGTTGATAAATAGATAAAAAGAGACGCTCACTTCTTTTATCAATTTAAAAAAAAAATCTATAAACGTTTGAGGAGGGAATTAAACTTACAGAAAATTTGAAACATCCCTCATATACCGTATTACACACAAAAAAGAAAAATGAACATTCATGATTGTAACTAGTGAAGTCGTAATTATGCAGTAATAATAGAATAATCGATCCACGCATCGTACATGTGCAGAGAAATTTTCAACGGGTTATAAAAAGAGAAGAAAATTTTTAGGGACGTCAACTTGTGCAACTTTCTTAAAGCGGCCCCAATTAGGCAATTGGCTTAAATTCAACAGTCTAAGATACCAGGCAGTAATTTGGACGACTATTACAGCAAGTGTCGGGATACAAAGACTGAATCAACCAAGTCAAACCTCAACTCTCATCTTGTATAAAATCAATAGTAATCCTTTGATCTTCTTCCCCACCGTCTCTCTCATCCAAAACACCAAGATCCCCCAAATGAATCAAATCCATTTCTTTAATCTCACTTCAACTCTCTTTCCAATGCTACACTTGGCTATCTTCAGTTTGTTTTTCCTGGCAAGAAAAGGCTTAGCTGTGGAGGACGAAAACTTTACTATCTGCAGCGTGCCCAGAAATTGTGGTAGGCTAACCATAAAGTTCCCATTCTTCATCCGGGAGCAGGACTCTAGATGTGGTTATCCGGGATTCAACATCTCCTGCAGAAACAACACACAACCAATTCTTGGCTTTCCTCATGGCGACTTTATCATCCATGATATCTTTTATCAGAATCAATCTTTTCACGTGTCAAAAGACGTTGCTTTTGATAGAGATGCGGTTTGCAGCCATTCAATCTCAAACATTTCCCTTCCTGAAGACCGGTTTTATCTCCCTTCAAACCAAAGACAAATATTTTTGCTCTTCAATTGCGACTTAACCTTGCAATTGACCTGGGCACTTTCACGGTACAAGGTTAATTGTTCTGCTGCAAATGAAGTTAATACAACGTTGGCAGTGTTCAATAACGATTCGATGCTGAATTTTGCTTCAAACTATTGTAATAACACGGTGGTGGCTCCCGTGGCTGCATCATATGAAGGAGAAGGAGGTATCGAAGATATATTGAACAGAGGATTTGTATTGAATTGGATAGCGAGCTCTTGTAGCATTTGCGAGGCGAGTGGTGGAAAGTGTGGATTTGATTACAGTACCTACCATTTCAAGTGCTTTTGCCCGGATAGACCCCACGCTTGGCACTGTACTCCTGGTATGTATTTCTCTCTCTCGCTCTCTTCTTGTCAATTGAAAGGAGAAACCTTCTTTTGTTGTCTTGGGAATTCTCTATCTTCTCCGTAAGAACAGTTGCCATTGGCCATTTTATGTGCCATGCTCTGTTCATTGGTCCACATTAGCCAGAAAGGGTAAGGTTCTTCTCTGGCTGCTTAATCTGCTGTTTCTAGCCCCACTCCAATTAATCATCGTCACTAGGTGGAACCCACACAGGACACTATTGAATTTCTGACTTTTGGAGGAGATAGTAAAAAGTGCTAGGAGCAGCCCGAATTATTCATTATAATAGGCACGTACAGATTTAGTTATCGAACCTGCATTTGATGTACTCATCGTCACTCTTTTTTCTTTTGTCTTTTGCCCTAGTTTATGCAAGCCATCTCTATTTCATAATTCTCTGATCATAACCAACTTCTATAAATTTGGGGAAAACTGGTGCTTAAACAAAAAAAAAAAAAAACCCAAGTTCAGCTTGTAGAGGAACAACCCGTTCGAACCTTTTGGAAATAATACACTTTGGATACAATTTTGTATTGGATTGGGACTGAAAATGGTTAAACAGAAGATATGGTATGATATTTGTTCATTTCTGTCAAAAGTTTGTTTGAAATAGGACTAAATGTTTAGGCTTTTCTGATCGACCGAGACAATGCATTGAGTTCCGCTGGCAAATGTCATTGTGCCAGATTAACTGATTCTACGTACATCATTGTGTGATTGGTCTTTTTCTATCCTCTTCCAGTGTAAACTGTCATATTGCTTTAATCCCCCCCTCCAACTCAAGAATGTCCCCAATGGCCACAGATAAATAGATGATTAGATCTCCCCTCTTTCGAAATAAAGATGATTATATCTTCTTTTTTGGCGTAGGATAGGTTATACAGCTTAGTACTAACAGAATTCTAGTTGGTATATTTTGATTGGGGTTTGGGTAGGATATTTGCTAGTGGTTATTTTTGCTTGAAATTGAAGTGAAAGCACATATGCTAACTGCATCATAATGTTATCTATAGTAATTTACTGCCTTTACATTTAACCATTCAGCATGGAGAGATTGGCCTTTGTATTGCAGGGGTCATTTCTTGGTCAAAACTTAAACCATGAACCGACAAATAATTGTAGTCAAAAGACTGTCTTATCAAAGAATGGATTAATGCTTGGAGTTGCAAATTTGACTCTTGGGATGCAACTGACTAATGATGCCTTATGGCAATTTGTCCAGAAATTGTTTTCTCAAGTGTTTGAGCTTTGAATACTTAGTTAAACTTAGACAAACAACTTGAGTTGCCATCTAGAGAAGGACAGGTTAGAAATATGGTCTCCAAAATACAAATTTTTAGTTGGCCAGATTCCTTTCCAAAAAAAAAAAAAAAGGAAGTAATAAACAACTTTCATAAATTTAAAAATTCTGGTATATATGAATGTTGATGGTACCCGTTAATCTTTTTTTTTATTGCAACTTGATTGAAATTTGATGATGCTAAACAATTAAAAATGAACAAAAATCAGGTTCAAAAGAAAAAAAAGGGTTTAATAACATCAGAAGCATGGCAAGGGATGAGTAGTTGACCGACAGAACATCCTACAACTATAAGCCACTTTCATATTTACATTAAAGCAAGTTCTCTGGAGTTTTCCATTCACCTAAGAAAGCTACAAAATAGAATATGATTTATATAATCTTATTGCTTTTTGTTTTTGTCAGAAGACAATTACTTGCATTTAGCTTATAAGTTCTGCAACCTGGTGTAGTTTAATTACTTCATAGCAACAAAGTATAGTTTTTACTCGTGGAGACCCTGATCTTTTAATGTATATTAAACCCTTTGAACCCAACCGAAGATGGATAGAGATTATTTCTTAAATAAATTTGGAAAAGGATGCAAAATCAAGTTAAATTAAGCACCTAGAATATTAATCAGTTGAAATTTGTAAGGTGATCAGTATGTGCCTATATATCTACTATTCTGTTAGTCTTGTTTGTTAGCCTGTTCCTCAGATGAGTTTGCAGAACGTGCTCAAAATATTCTTCTATATTTTGATTGAAATCTTTATCATCTTTTTGGAAGAGTCAGTTCTAGCAGAAGAATCAAAATATGAAGCTTGCAAACCTAGAAGCTGTAGTAGTAGTAGTACTAGTGGTGATGATCTAAACATAAGCTATCCTTTCTACATTTATGGAGTTGCACCAGAGTATTGTGGTCATCCATGGTTTGAAATTGGTAGTGAGGATGGTAAACCTATCTGTAAGACCTCCAGTGGTTGCTTCCTCATTCAAAGTATCTCTTACAAGAATCAGACAATTTGATTGGTAAATTTAGAGGTGGTCAGCACTGCTTGCTTTGCTTCTCTTAAGAATTTCTCCTTTGATCAATCTTCTCTTGATTTTAGTCCCTACCATGCCCAATATCTTTTTCTTTTATAACTGCACGACTCCTTTTCGGTTAATTATATAAAACTTAGAATCAAATGTGCCTCCAGTGCGATGCTTAATTCTTGGATTGCATTAGTCCATGGGAATGAGGACTTGAATTGGAACCAAACAGCCTGTGAGCATTTAATTGCCTTCCCTGTTCAGTTTGAAAGGGAAAATAATCAAGCAATAATCGTTGACTACATAAAGTTGTTGAATGATGGATTTACGCTCCATCGGAATGGATATGATTGTGCTAGGTGCCAGAGAAGTTCTTGGGGCCACTTTGGATTCGACAAGGGACATAGTGTCTGTTTCTACCCTGATGGAACTCATTCCAAGCAATGAAAATATGGTAAGGCGGCCAAAAATTGCTTTGCTTAGAGTCTTCTTTCAATTTTCTCGTTTTCTTTTTTGCTGGTTTTTCTCCAAAATTGATCTAGATTATATCAGTTTACTCTCACAAGAAAAATAGGATATCATATGCACGGGAAGATGAAGTTTTTGGTAGATTTCTCTCCTCTTTTCCTAGGAAACCTTCTGCATCAAATCTAGGATCTATCTAGCTATTAACAAATGTCTTTGACTATGTTAAAGACATTCATGCCTTATCCACACTGCTGCACTGTACCTATACAAACATGCATGAAACAAAACTGTTATTGATGTTCGTTGTCTAGAGTATACTTCGAGTTTAAGAGGAAACTGTCAGTTCAATCAGCTTGTTATAGACTCTTTATCAAAAGGGTTCATACGCTCAGTTCTTTCTTGTTTTCAACTGTTTAGAGTTTAGATTCTTTGAACTTGGCTGTTTCCCTCTCAGCTTAAAGTCATGTCTGAATGGAAGAAATTTCAGACTAACAGTGAAGGCATTGACAAGTAGGTTGAAATTCACTCATGAAAACGATTCTTTCTCTAACCCGCCCCATACTTCCTGTCAAAGACCGACCGTGAAAAAGTTGTCACTGATAGAGAAATCAAGGATCATATCATTTCCACAAGGTAGACTTGGGTGTTTCTTTTTATGGCCCGCAATCTGAATTTTCCCTCTTTTCCCCTCTCATGGATTCTTTCCTTCTGTCACGCCCTTTATTTTTAACTTTTCCCCATCGACCATCCGAACCATACTTTTTCTATTCTATCTTATAGATAGAACGCGCAATCTTGTCCTTGTCACTCCATCCTCTCTTTAGGTTTAATTCAGAGTGCTGAGCTCCAATCCTGGAACAATTTGAGTTTTCCCAATCTTCCATATGTCACTTTCGAGATGGGTTCCAACCTAACCTTGTGTAAATGCAATAGTGCTTTGAATACTAGCTTTCCAAAAGAATTCAGCTACACAGTCTGCAAGAATTACACTATATAATATAGCCAACCGGAGGGGATGACTGGGCCACTCGAAAACAACAACAACTAAAAAATGATCGTTTGTCAAGCATTTGTAATTGCCCAATTATTCAGCGCCCTTTTACCAGTCTTCCACCGAAGAAAAATTCGCAACATAACGATAGCCTTTTGAAACTATTAACTCCATGTGTATGTGTCAAAGTTCCAAGTATCCTTTCATTGTTGGTAGATGTTTATTTAACAAGCAAAAATTCTACTGTAGCAAAGGTATCTGCATACCAACATTTTTGTGCTCTTTTTCTTTTCTGTTTTTTATTGCGCATCATGCAACAAATATTTAGGAGAAGCAGAAACTAGTTCCTCGCGGTGAGATGTCTAAACAACAATTTTTTTTTTTTTCTTTCAAAGACATAGTGCAGCTGCCCTCTTTTTTTTTTTTTTTGGATAAAAACTGACTACTTTTGTACTTCTTTGTAACTTCAGTTGCAGGAAAGAACAAATTGGGACTGAAGCTGGGACTCGGTAATCTCTCTTTCTAGCTTCGATCTCAAGTTATCAACTCTGTTTCCAGTAAAAGATGAGGGAAAAAAAAAGAATAGAATACCATGCATACTTCTACTCCTGATTATATATATCAGAAGAATTTCTCGACGTCTTATGGATATTTAGTGGCTGTCAGTCCAAAATTGACCGCTCTCATTATTATGCTGTCTGTAGGAATTGGATGCCCTACTCTAATAATACTGATCTTGTCCATCTATGTCTTCCGGCGTCGATGCAAACAAAAATATGCTTCATCAAACTTTCTCAGACAAAAAACTTCATCCGATCACTCTTCAAAATCAGACCTGGAAAGCAGTAGTACAGCCTGCTTTGGGCTCCCCATCTTCTCCTATGCTGAACTTGCAGAAGCCACGAATAATTTTGACGATGAGAAAGAACTTGGAGATGGAGGTTTTGGGACTGTATACTATGGTAAGACGATAAACTGCATGTAATTTACAACTAAAAGATCGCCCATATAAATGAGACAGCTGCTAAGCAAAATTATAAATAGCTGTAAAAAACTAAAAGCTTGATGGTAAATGGTCTCTCTTTGTTTTAACTAGGGAAACTCCGAGATGGGCGAGAAGTTGCAATCAAGCGACTATACCAACACAATTATAGACGGCTACAACAGTTCATTAATGAAGTTGAAATCTTAACCCGCTTGCGCCACAAAAATCTGGTCTCTCTCTATGGTTGCACTTCACGCCGCAGCCGGGAACTTCTCCTTGTTTATGAATTCATTGCTAATGGCACCGTTGCTGATCATCTTCATGGCAATCTTGCACAGTCCGGTTCACTCACATGGCCCATTCGTATGAGCGTTGCAATAGAAACTGCAAGTGCATTAGCTTATCTACATGCCTCTGATATCATACACCGTGATGTTAAAACTAACAACATTCTCCTGGATGATAATTTTTGTGTCAAAGTAGCAGATTTTGGGCTTTCTCGGTTGTTCCCCAATGATGTCACCCACATCTCAACTGCTCCACAAGGGACCCCTGGCTACGTTGACCCAGAATATCACCAATGTTACCAGCTTACCGAAAAGAGTGATGTCTATAGCTTTGGAGTTGTTCTCGTTGAACTCATATCTTCAATGCCTGCTATTGATATCACCAGGCATAGGCATGAGATTAATTTGGCTAATTTGGCAATAAACAAGATTCAAAAGTGTGCATTTGATGAGTTGATTGACCCCAATCTTGGTTATAAATCAGATGAAGAAGTTACAAGGAGGACAACTTTAGTTGCAGAGCTGGCTTTTCGGTGTTTGCAACAAGAGAAAGAAAAGCGCCCTTCGATGGAAGAGGTTTCGGAGGAACTACAGAGAATACAAAGTGAAGATTACAAGTTGGAGAATGTGCAAGAGGATGAACACACTGATAGTGAAGTACCAATCAGTTCACTGCCCCCTCCTTCACCTCCAACCGGCGATCAGATTGCATTGTTGAAGAATATACGGCTGCCAGCTTCACCAGTTTCTGTGACAGATAAATGGATTAGCCAGCGTACTACACCTAGTGCCAGTGTATAAATTTAAAAAAAAAAAAAAAATTTGCCATTCTGCTCAAATTCAAGTCTCATTGCCAACTGCAAATAGAGGGTAAAAGATTTTCATTGTTCTCCTCGTTTGTTTTTTTCTCGAGGGAATGTAGACAGTAAATGGAGCAATCATTATTATACTATAAATAATGTTCATATTCTGCAGATCTTTTATTGGCTTCCCTGCTTTGTGCGCCTAATTAATGTTTCTTTCTTCATTAGCAAAAATTATAGAAGAAATAAATTATCATCTGCAGTGAAGTTTTTTCAATTGCAAAGTCAGGTGATCAAAGCTATAACAATGGCATGAACATTAATTGATTCATCAGGATCATGCTTGTGGGAACATGCTATAAATGTGTTGAGCAAAACAAAATGTATTTCATAAAAAAACCGATTCTCAACTATGTCCACATATTCAGGCCTCTGCTTAACTCTAAATTTGAACATATTATTGCAATTTGCAAATGTCAATAGTTTCGTACACAAAATAAAAGCCTTGCTCCTAAATATTATTTAATGCTCTAACATATAGAATACGGCAGGGACAAGCACACTATATGTACTATAATTATAAGAAATCCACAATAAGGCATGTTAGACATGGTCACACAATTGAATTGAATAAAGTGAATGGAAGCTCCTGTTTTGCTTCTTCCATGGTCTAAATACTAATAAATACATACTATAAACCATGGACACGTCATATACCCCAGCGTATCCATGTCGGACATACCTTCAATATGTCTGGATACGTCTCTGACACATCATATCAAATACACTGAAACATATAAAAAAAATTAAAAAAAAAAAAACACATGATCAAAACATAATCAAGATATACTTAAACTCTGCAAATCGAAGGTTTATATATATATATCTATATTTGAATATGGAATCAACAATGATTAAAACCAAAATTTTAAAAAAATCAAATGCTAGAAATTCAAAAATTAAAAAAAAAAAGATGTAGAGAGAACGTAAAAAATAAGAAACATAGGTGGATGGATTAAAAAAAAATTTTAAAATAGGTTTTAATACTTAATAATTGTATATTATTATAAATTTATATTTGATATATTGTTAGTTTATAAATTTTATATATTATCAGTGAATCAAGTGATAATAATTTTTTAATAAATAAATATTAATTTTTAAAATAAATATATAAAAAATTAATATTTTTTAAAAATATTTATACATTAATAAAATATTATCATCTTATTTATTTTATTTATAAAATAATATTATTTAATTTATTAAAATTTATAAAATATATACAGAAAACTTTATTATTATATAAAAATATTTTTTTATTGATTTATCTTATTACACTTGAGCCTTCATTTTTTATTTTAATTACTGAATCATTATATTCATATTAAATGTACACGTCGTATTCGGGCTTCATTGGATAAACACAAACTCTTGGATATGATACATGGACCTGTTATAGAAATGATTTTTCCGTTCTTTTTAAATCTCCAGTTCTCCACAGTTGTACGATATCCGAAATTTCTTGGGAAATGCACCCCACCCCTACACGACCTTTCTCTCCTTTCAGGTCTTCCTTTTCATCTTTCCAAAGAGAAAAAGAAAATTCCATTCAAAAAGAAGAAACACAAAGCACGCAAAAGAGGAAAAAGAAACACAGAAATTCTTTTCTTTGGCATTGAAGCAACCAATACACAAACGAAAATCACCTCACAATCATTTTGTCAATTTTCAAATTCCAAATCCTCCCATTCACTTCACTTAAATTGCTCATCAGATAACACAAAAAAGGAAGAAGAGAGACCGATAGAAGGCAACTGGAAAAAATAATTAAAAAAAAAATATGACGACGTTGCAGAAATTCAAGCTTTTAGCGACACAATGTGGCGTCACCCAAAGTCCAACAAGAAGTCCAAGGACGAGTCCCGTGGTCAATTTCCATCGCCCTAAAACCACTCTGCGAATGCTTCTCACCAGATCCAGTAGCCGCAAATCATCGACCCGTCGGGAAATGTCGTATCCACAGAGTTTCGTCGGAAATTTACCTGAGAAAAAGAAGGACAACAAGGATTTGAGTGGTCATACTTTGAAGGATTTATTTGTATCATCTCCATCGTTAGAAGATGATGACGATGAAGGCAAATTTGTAAACGAGAAATTTGGCGGGAAGAGTGAAGTTGTATTGGCGACGAAACTGAGTGATCTTAATGGATTGGGTGGTGAAGCGGGTTCGCCGAGGCCGGGTTGGATTGGATTCAGGCATAGGATGCTGTTGAGGAGGGTTTGGCGTCCCATGCTAATGACCATTCCCGAGTAATTCTGTAGTAATTTGTTGAATTCTTAATGAAAATTTTGTTTGGTTTTTCTTTTTTTTTTTTTTTTTTTTAAGATTATCTTTGCTGCTTTTCTTTTGTCCTTCTTTTAATATCCAAATACTGGTGATTTAAGACTGAATTTTCGTAAGAACACAAAGTCTCTGATTCATTGAAACGAATAGTATTTGTGGCACAGAAAAAAAGAAATAAATACTATTATTATAAAAAAAAATCCTTATCAGAACTCATTAAGATTAGTTTAAATATTTGGCCAAAAAAAGTTGTTTAAATATTAATTTTTTATTAATATTATTATTAAATAAAAAATATATTAAATATAATTTATTTTTTATAATACAAAGATAAACATAGATTAATATTTGCTTTTTTTTAAAGTTACGATTATAATTAAATATTAAATTTATATAATAGATTGAATAATCATAATAAAGTTATATAATTAATTATTAATATTATGAATGATCATTAATTTATAATAAAATATTTAATATGATATTTAAGTTTTAAAAATTGTTAATATGATTCTTAAACTATAATTTTATTAATTAATATAATATTCATTTTTAACGTGATTAATTTTATACGATGAAATATGACATGCAAACAATCATATAAATATTTCATTAATTAATGATTTATAGTTTAGATATTATATTAAAAATTTTTATAAAATGCTACATTAAATATTTTATTATAATTTATAAATCATTCATGACTTTAAATAAATAATTAACTAAAAAAAGTAAAATAATTAAATCCATACACAATATAATTTAAATATAATATTTCAAAATTTTAAGATCTTCTTTTTACTATTAAGTCAAAATTTCATTCACATTATTTTCTTATCATTCAAATTTAGTTGTTACAACTACAACAACTTCAAAATTTATTTTTTAGTCTTTTTTCTTTTTTTTTTAACCAACGGAGTGAATCGAAATATTCAAATGTGTGTTTTTGGAATTTGGAATGTTGAATGCTTTTGATATCCCATGGAAAGTTAAAGTTAAAGCTGGTAATGGCCCAATCAATAAGGAAGGGATCTAAAGTTGCGTGTGATTATTAACATAAAGTGCAAGTCAAAAGTTATTCCCACAGGATGGCAGCCACTGTTGAGTCCACTTTCACTAAATGGAGAATACAACGATGCCGTTAGCCTTTGGGCTTGTTTGGAAGCTTTATATATAGTTTTTTTTTTTTCCCAAATGCATGCATCGACTGTGGTTTCTATTTTAAAATTCAGAGTTTATTTTCGCTTGGATTGATTGTCCTTTTATAAGTTAAAGTTAGTTTATCCATTGATTATTTAATTGTAATCTGCTTCAACATTTTTAGCTCTTCCATTCACCATTTTTTTTTTCTAATGAGTGTGCAAAACAGAGGTGATTTCTACAATTTTCTCGTTAAAGGTTTATTACTCCATATTCTCCCGACCTCAACTTTTTGTATTCCAAAATATTGAGTAAATAATGTGAATGGTTCCTAAATTTTAAGCTAAATATTAAATTGGTCTTCATATTATTAAAAATTACTTCTTGATTTTCAAACTTGTAAAATTAATTTTTTTTTTCGATCAGTGTTTTTAGGGCAGAGCAATAGTCGGTCAACCCCGAAATACCCAAATCAAAAGCTGATAATTATGGTAAATTGATTCGATATTTCGGTTTAATAAATTAAATCAGTTTGAGATTCGATTTTTGTAGTTTATTCCATCGAGTTTCAGTGTTAAATTTTAAAAATCGAACCCAACCGAAATAATCAATATTTAATAATTAAATAATTAAAATTACATTTTAATTAATTTTAACCATTTACGCATATACCTTTTAATTTTTGTACATTCCCCTAAAATCTAAATCCCTAATTTCATTTTCCTCTTTTTCTTTCTCCACTCTCACGCTCTCTCCAGTCTCTCCCATATCAGCGTCTTCCTCATCTCAATTTCTTGAATCTTCTCTCTCCTCTCACAATCACGCCAGACCCTGAGACCTAGACTCCGCTAGTGGCGATTGAAGAGTCCTTGGAACCCAAAGCTACCACACTAGATTACCAGAGCATACCCATCAATGGTCACCGTCATTGGGTTTTTTGCCTTTCCCCTTTTGCCAAACTAGGAGTGTGCTTCACCTCTTTCCCTCACTTGATCCATGCTGTGTGCTTAAACCCATATTTAAAATATCATATTTAATGTTAAATATAGATAATTTCAAGGAGTCCATTAGAAAGAATTAATAAAAGTTTGTTGGCTTTTAATTATTTCCTGTCAAAGAATTATACATGTTTGTGTATTTTAATGACGTTTCTCTTTCACTCTCAAACTTATTATAATAACTAACCTATATGATTTACATAGTTGAATGTTGAAAATTGGAAAAAAGATTAGAAGACCCACAAAATCGATAAAATCGACCGTAATCGACTTATTCAATTCGATTTGATTGCACTTAAACCTTTTTTAGTTTCCTTGATCGGTTTAATTTTTATTAAATTAATTTGATTAAATCAATTTTTTAATTTTATAATTAAATTAATCGAATCAACAGTTTGTTCTGCCTTAAATGTTTTCATCATTTGAAATGTTTATCGACACTACGGGTGCTTTACACGAAGAAATACGTTTGAATAAGATGATATGGATTTTTTTAATTTTACAAGAATAAAAAATTTATTTTCAAATTAAAAAAAACCCTATAAAAGCTTTAAATAATTGCTTTTTCTCTCTCTTAAAAATTCCTTAATTGAAAGCACAATTGCAAAATTCGTTAATTTAATAACTCCATGATTCAGCTTTACCAATAAAATCATCATTAAACAACAAAAGCCATTAGTTACCAAAGAAGAAAAAAAAAAAGAAAACAGATTGCTTGTCTAGTCATGAAGAATAAACTCAAATTCTAGTAAGCATTGCAGGCTAGAAGTCCATGGAAAGTAGCATCTTGTGTATTGCACTTGGACTTCTGCACGTACATCTGCTGTACTATTTCTTGTGGACTTTTGTATTTATAAGCCTCTTAAGGCAAGGCTTATGTTTGCTAGTAAATACCGGCTGCCTGCCAGAGGTTCATGTTTATCAGCACTTACATGATATGATATCTTTTTGGTATATTTTATAAATACATGATTGTCAACGATAACAAGTAAGGTGCTCATTTTTTACTCTTTTTTTTGTCACCTTGATATTTGGCTATTTGGTATGGCTAAATTGTTCGCTAGTGAGATGACTTTAGCTTCTGCATGGATTCCATTACTAGCTGTCGATCATTCTGCTGCAAGTTCTTTTTCTCGCTCACTCAATTTTATGCTCACATGTAAACAGTTCAGACATCTGAAGTCTGACCATCTTGTTTCGTTGCTCAATCTAGACAGGTTTTTCATGATGGGTTGCAAAATCAAATCGAGACTCAGCATTCAGTTTCTCTTTGCCTTCTCTTTTGCCCCATTGGAATTGTTATTCCTTTTGTTAACAAAGCACTTGTAAGAAGTCCAGATCATTGTATTTCAGACTGCGGTTCAATCAAGTAATTTCGTTTTTTAGAATGCATTGAGATTTACCCGATGCAATAAGATTCAACAATTAATCAGTCTATTTGAACAAATTTTGTTATCCCCAATTTGAATAGAATATTATTGAAAATGTCGATTTCTTTATCGCCTGTGAACTTTCTGGTTCTCCATGTTTATCAAAGTAATTCATTAATGGTTACCTTTCTCGATCGATTGATATGATTGTCATACTGAAATTCATAGAAGTTAGCAAAATTTTGAATAATTCTATAAGAATTATTGTTGACAAATATATTTGCTTTTCTAGGAATTTTGCAATTAATCCCAATGAAGTTCCATAAGGAGAAACTATAACAATTTGGAAATAAAAAAATTTATGATTAGAAAAAGAAAAGCAGCAGGAAACGATATTTTCTTGTTTTGCTATTTATATCAAATGAATCAACTTAAAAAGAGCTTCAAATGTTTATTTACAAAATTAAAGAGTAAATATTTTTCAAATAGTTTTAAAGAGTAAATATTTTTTAAATATTTATTTACAAAATTATTATTTAATATATCTAAATAATTTTAATTATTTATTGTTTCATACATATTAAATATATTATAAATTTTATTATATACAAATTTTATTCTAACATTAATCATTTCTTTATTACAATTTAAATAACTATTTCACTATTAATTTTAATCGCATCATTACAATAATTAATTTTATCGTTATAATAATTAATTTTTTTCATCATATTTTAAAATTTCATAAAATTAACGTCACTATCCAATCAAATATACTCTTAATTGTTTTGCAAATAGCAGCTCTTTTCATTTGGCGACAAATGTAAACTGTATAGTCATTCATCGAGATTGCTTTCCTTGCCCATGAGGGGCGTGTCAAAGCTGAAATACAAATATACAATAAATGAGTCATTCCCATCGAACTTTTTCGTGCTTGATGCTTGCTCCTTGCACGTGAGGGGCACGTTACTACTTAAATGCAATAAATGAGGATCACCCAGTTTGGCGCTTACTTCAAACGCACAATCTTTTAAAATCTGAAATTGAATGATTAAATTTCAGTGTTGAACTGCTTAATTAGGGTGCAAACGAATTCTGAAATGTTAAAATCAAATATATTTACGAATTCTTTATCGAATATTTTGTTAATTTATATTCTGAATATAAATTAATTAAACATAAATAAATTTTATTATATTTATAATTTATTCGTTTAAGGATTATTTGTTAATTTGTTAATTTTTTATTTTTTTAATTAAAAATAAAAATATATTAGATAAATTATTTTTTCTATTTTTAAAAACTGAAAACAAAATTTTAAAAATTTTGAAAATTATTAAAAATAAAAAAATTATTTTCAATTTTTTGAAAATAATTTGGCACTATTATGGATACCGTACAAAAATATAATCAAATCGGTATAGTGACATTATAATTATTATATTAATAAAATAATATTTTTATTATATAAATATTATACTAATAAATAATATATTAATAAAAATTATTAGATTTATTATATAAATAATATTATATTCATAAATAAATAATATTATATTTAATTAATAATCTATTATATTGGTAATATATTATCAATATAATATATTAATAAATAATGTTATAATATATTAAATATAATATATTATATTAATAATAAATTAATAAATAATATATTAATGAATATTATTATATTATTAACAACAAACTAAACCTAAAAATTTTAATTACTTTCTCTTACATGTTTTTTGTTTTCACATTTCTAAAACAATCCAAACACATTTTCAAATTTAATAAATTGAAAATAAAATGAAAATAAAACAAATCAAATTTTTTATAAAAACATAAAACAAACAACAATACGAAAAAACCTCTGAATTAACGAATTATAAAATATTATTTGTAATTATTTATTAAATTCAATAAACAAAAACAAAATCCACGATATTATTATGTTTAGTAAAGGGAAAAAAATCTGCCGTGTTTTATTCGTTTACACCGTTGCACCTGATAGAGTTGCTTCTCAGTTCTCACATCAATCTGACAGAATGCAACTTTGAAAGGATCAAAATCGTTGGTTTATTCCCAACAAGTTAAGCATTTGCACTAACAAATAAGGCAATAAAAATTTACACTTTCATTCACTTAATCATTTGAGTAATATGCTTTCATTTTCTGTTACGAAATATTTCCTCCAACAAAATGTAAGTAGGGTTGGGGGGAAAGAGGAAAACAGAAAAAAATAAAAAATAAAAAATCAACATTTAACTGTTGTTATTTGTTCCCTAAAGGGATCGAAGGTGTAATCTTATTTGAGTGGGTTTGTGATTGTTTATTGTCTTCCACATTTCCCCTATTATCTGGCCGGGACTTCACCTGGCCATCAGACTTAGGGCAGGCCTCCGAACTTTTTGTGTCCGGAGGTAAAACCTGTTGCAGAAATCGGTGCATCATCTCGTAACTGGTAAATGTGATAACAGCTGATGGTGTCGTTCTGAGTAGATTGGCAGCACAGCCACGGTAAAAGCCTGGAACACCTTCCTTTTGGAATACCTTCCTAATGCAATCAATCACCCCTTCATACTGGACCTCATTTCTGACCTGCCCTTGCTCTTGAAGCCTTGAGCGAATAACCTGGTGATACAAAATTGAAGAGTAAGACAGACTTGGGAACAAAAATAAGCACATATGATCCATGAAACAAGAAAGAGTTTCTTCAATGACCGTAACTCCATTGCAGTTGAGTCAATATAGCAAAGTCCAACAAAAACATACCTCGTGTGGGTAAGTCATAATAGAGGCAAGCACTTTTGATATTGATGAGGCAATTGCAACATCAGCAGGACTTAGATGGTCAACAGTTGTCTTTTCTGACCAAAAAGAAACATGAAAAATTAATATGAACAGGACCACCAACTGAATAAACTATATGACACAGGATTCAGAGAGGATCTTATTTATACAACCTGGAAATTACATAACGAGATAATATTGGTAACTCATTTACCCTTTTCTGCCATATAGGATTTGATCTTTTCATATGCTGGAAACTGAATCGCAACATGACTAATCCCAGCCAAAGAAGGCAAGACTCCACTGTTTAAAATAATGAAAAAAAAATTATGACAACAATGGTAAATGGAAAATGAAAAATTATATCTATTTTCAGATTACAATTGAAGCCAATATGCACCCAAATTATTCCAAGCAGAGTGGAACTCAATCGCTGACCTATACAACCCTCGCAAGCCTTCCTCATGTACAATCCTTCGTAAAGCAGAAAGTACACCTGTATAGGGAACCACACCTGTCCTCATTCCCTGTGTCTAAACAAAGACCAAAAGAAAAATGAATAACAATGAAATCATAAAGAATGATCATATTTATATATCTACAATGATATCTAATAAATGTGAACATCCAAGGTAAGTCTTGGATAAACATAATTGGTTATAATACCAAAATATTGCATCACTAAATTTGAGGTATTGAATCCAACATTCCAAGTATGAATCAGGAAATTCATCCTAATGGGCCAGACGATGAAAAATTAAAATATTTATCTGTCAGCAGCACTTAGAAATTTTTCTGAAACTAAGTCTGAATTTTGCTGTATCTTTCTCATTTTTCCACTTCATTGTAAATTCCAATAGTTGGGTTACTAGTTACTACCATGCCAGCTTCAGTCCACCTAGTGCATGTTATGTTTTCTTCCAACATGCACTGTCAAGGGCACCCAATCACAATTATACCAGAACTTCCTGAAAACCTTTATGAGGATTACTACTTTGAAAGGAGAAAAAAAACCTCCAATGATGATTGAATGCAATCAACATTCTCACGGTTTGTCACTTTATATCCTTCAATAACATCAATATAAAGAAGTACAGAAGTGCAGCAAAAGCAACAGACATTACATGTCCTTGGAAGTGACTACTACAATAAAATAATCACATGGTAGAGCATGTCTGACTATAATAAATACAGGTAAAATACCACTTCCAGAACTCGCAAAGAAATGGCAAAACCTAATCAGTCTTCAGTCATCTATAAATCTTAGAAAACACATTCCTAGTCCAGTTTTATTGCATGTACAATCTATGTACTAGTGGAATGAAGTACAATAAGCTTTATTCAACATTGAAACTTCAAAGAAAGTTAAATGTTCTGATACAAATTCAGAACAACTGATCAGTGATCACTCTCATCCACTTGCCAGAAAAAGCTTACTTTTATGGTTCAAAACATATGCCTGCTTGAACCATACTTTTGTCAAAGCTAAGGATTCAAATTGCGGTCGCGGATACGTTTTCGGTCGTGTCGGGTTTAGCGCGATTACGTATATAACGGAGATCATTGCGGTCATCAAGGTCATGAATTTTTTTTAATTTTTCACAATTTACTATAAAATGCAGTAATTATAATTATAATAATAAAAATTAGTACTTATAATTTTTAAAGTAATTTATGATATTTTAATTTAATTTATAAAGTAAAATAATTTTTTCATGTTTTGTAGTTATAATTCAGAATGGAAATGCATGTTATAAACGTTTTTCTTTATTATACACATGAAGTTCAAAGACATAAATATTATAAATAAATATGATGACAAAAATATCTTACATGAAGTTAATAAAGATTATAATTAATTTAATTAAAAAATTAGTGATGAATATTTTAGATATTTTTGTAATATATGTTTATTGGGGGAAGATGATAAACTATTTGATTGACTATGGATAAATATACTTTACTATTAGATCAAATTTTCAAGTGCAACATTTTAAATAACTAAATTAAACCAAAATAATATAATAGTAGCCAACTAATCTTTATTAACTAATAAAAATATACAATTAACAATAACATTAATCATATTAAAATTATTTAAAAAACTACTAATTACTTTAAAATGATGGTAAATAAAAATAAATTCACTAATTAATAGCTCACATTTCCCTTAAATTTTCATCAAAATCAATAAAAAATTTTTCTAAAATATCCAATTTCTCACCAAATCATTTGTTTTTTCCTTTCCATATTTTCACCTAAATAAGAAAAAGCAAAATACAATGTACTTTTAAATATCACACATACCTAGGAAAATAAAAATACTATGATTGGTTGATTTGGTTCGGCTGAACCTGAACCCACCAAACCTTTCCCACATCCGTACATTCTTCAAATTTAATGATTAAATCTCTCTGTATCACACTTTATTGCTCACTCTCTTTCTTTAAAAATTGATAGACATATCACATGCTTCCTCTATCTTCTAACCTTTTCCAAGTTCCATCCACGCTATCTTTGTCTTCTTCCTCAGCCCAAGCCACTGATGACGCTACTATTGAGCCCAAGCCTCTCATCTTCCCATCTTGGCAATTAGAAAATATTTTGCTTCTTCTCAACTCTCAAGATCTAAGATAGTTATTGATTGACTTCAACATGTTCTTTGAGCTTGATTGAGGTTTGTATTTGCTGATTGAATCATAAATTTAAAGGTTTTTCTTGTTTAGAATGTGATTTTTTAAATGAAATTCTTTAACTACTGAAAAAGAATAAGTTTTCGAATTACATTTTGAACTGAAAATGATGATTGCGGCTATAGCGTCCTACAAAACAACAATAAGGAAGGCAAACTCACTGTCCTCCCACTGAAAGAAGTGGAATAAGCAAGCAAAGAACCCAACCAAGCGATTCTCCTTGACCCGACAAAGAAAGAAAGGAACGAACGGGCTTCGCACCGGGCATAGCTTCCCTTTTCAGGAAACAAGAAGAAATGAAGAGGGAAGTCCGAGCTTTTCTACGAGCTCATGCCAAAATCTCTCTGAAATCCAGAACGGAAAGAAGGACCTACCTATTGGGGCTAGGAAGCACCCCATCCGGCCGAGATTGATCGGCTGTAATGACGGGCCGCTATTGTCTGTTACACTGTTATTTTACGGACGTGAGCAGCCGTTATGATTGTGAATTCCGTTCACAACCCAATTTTAGGTATGTAGCGGTGGCAGAGGCCACCGAAACTGCAAAATAACGGCTGCAATGCCGCTACACAACCGCTATTTAAAACCCTGGTCAAAGCGTTGATAAGGAGTTTGATCCTCCAAACACTCAATCATTAACCTTGGGTTGGGTACCTCCAGAAGATGGCAACATAGAGAAGCATATTCTGTTGCAACAAGAGAATGTTTGCCAATAACCAAAACTAAGTACTAACTACAGCTACTTTATGCTGAATTATAAGTGTATGTGTGCATCAAAATCAAGGTCATATAACTAATTCTAATTACGTTTTAGAAATGAATGATCATGATTTAAGCAAAGAGAAAAAACAAAATAAGATACAAACCACCAAAATATTTTACAAGAAGCATAATATTGTCATACATAACAACAAACTTACTTGGAGTCTTGTCTTTACAACCCATAATGGGTTTGTTGTGATGGCTGTGGCAGCCCCAGCACCAGCAGCAGCTACCATGTTTGCCCCAATTGTTAGTTGCCCACCATTATCATCTGCAACATTCCAATGTATAATTTTAGGAGAAATCAAAACAACTGAAGTTGGATTGAAAGAAGACATGCCAAGCGAGAACTCTAGAGAGAATTACATGAAGAAGAACCAACCTAGTGAAGTGAGTAGGCCTTTTAGTTGCTCATAGAGTGTAAAATAAACCTAGACATGAAATGAGAGTTTCTGTTACTTCACAAAAGATAGAAATTACACCAAATGGTATTTTGCGTTGCAGTTGGAATCCAGATTTTTCCAAGAAACATAAGGTTTATAAACATGGTAGCGGATTACTTAAATTTCCCTCTACAAATCTAATGATAGGTTAACAAGACTGGCAAGAAATCTTACACAAAAGAGCCTCTTTTTCGTGACATATTAAGAAATTTAGCTGCAAAAATCGGCTTAAAGCCAGCTTCAAACAGATGTGGGAGATCATAGAGGAGAAGCATAAAGTTTGCCTTTGGGACAGGCAGGTTAAGAAATCTCAAACAAGATGGTCAAGGCAGTAGCATTTATCAGTCAATTGTAATCCAACTAATGGGAGGGGAAACACAAGGCACGAGCCCATCTAACATAGATCATAAACACCTCAAAAGCTCAAAAAGAAACTAGAAAATTTTAGGTCAAACTACAATGAAGACAAAAAAAATTCAACACTTTAGTAAGTAGCTTCCGGTTAATTGCTTGAAGGGTTAAAAGGTTACTTACTGCCCAATTTGGAAGTAGAGCAAGTATTGTTGGTGAAAGTCCACGATACAACCCCTTCAACCCTTCATTTTTTATTATATTCTGTAGACTTGTTATAATGACACTGCCTGAGTATAGACAAAAAAGGGCAAGAAGAAGAGTCGCCCATCAACAATGATAACAGTAAACACCATCCATCATTAACCCAAGCACAAACTATTTCACATAATATTTAAAATCAAATTTCAAAATGTTAAACATCTAATCAAAACTATAACCATCAACACATTTCTTTCAATCTTGTCAGCATTTCATATGATCAAAATCTATCAGTGCCAGACACTCAGAAATTAACAGAAAACCATTCTTGCCCTAGAATTTGAGACACAGTGTACCCCATATCAGAAAAAAAAAAAAAAAAAAAAAAGCTCTCTAGCAACAAAAATTTGCACAGAGTTCAAATATAGGTGTGGAGCAGCCCGACAAAGCAAGAATTTTGCATGCCAAAAATGCTCCTAGGAAGATACTTAGATGACAAAATCTGAATTCACACACTAACATCAACCCTCCACATCAATTACTATTCTCAGCTTATCCAACAATCCAGTATCATAGAGATAACAAATTCAAGCCCAATACTTCTGCTAAACCATGCCCTTCAAATAAAAATCAGTTTCAGAAGCTCAGAATCTACAATACCTCTAGCACCAGATTGTGAAGCTTCAGGGAGTCCATGGACCTGTAACCTTGTCTTGATTACATCTAAAGGGCAGACAAAAGTGGCTGCAATTGCACCTAAAAATTTCCAACCAAAATCATCAATAAATCGAAATTTCAATCAAATTAAAAGTAATACTCATATTTTCAACTCTCTTTCCTAACATTCATAATCCAAGAATCAAGCATACAAACCCTCATTTCCTCAACTAAAAAATCCACTAAATTCCTAATTTTTTGGCAAGAAGTGATAAAATAAAATCCTAAAAGAATAAACCAAAAGAGAAATTAAGTAAAGCTAACCTGCAGTGGCACCAGCACCCGCATGGCACACAAATTTTCTGATGCTCATGCTTTGAGGATGAGAAGATTGGCCACCTCCCCCACCATCCATCTTCAAGCACCTTCAAAAAAATCTTACAAACAACTCAAAAACATCTAAGGAAAAAACCCATCAAAGATCTGTATATATAGCTTCTGTCTGTCACATTGAAACCCTCTCTCTTGTGAAAACCGTTCTGGGTTAAGGGTTAAGACCTTGTTGGACTCTTTCAGTTTTAATTCTTCTTGAAGGAGTCTTAAGTCAGAAATTGGAAATGAAGTTGAAGGGGTGACTTTTGTTTTGTTTTTCTTTGTCGTAAGCAAGAATGAACAGCAATGAGAAAGTTCAAGCAAGTTTTGGTCTATCATGACTTTATTGACACTGGGTTCTGTGTTAACTAAAAAAGATGTTTCAGAGAAAAAGTTTTGCTTTGCTTTTCTTTTTTCTTTTTTTTTTTTTTAATTTGTTAGGGCTTGTTGAGAAGCTGGCGCTGTCAAATCAAATTTTCTGTTATCTATTATTGATGAATTTGTTGTTCAAAAATAAATTTTGTGTTGTCCATGATTGATGAAGTTGTTGTTTAAAGGGTAAAAAAAAATAATAATGCAATAAAAATTTAATAATTATTTAAATTTTATTTTTTATTATAATAAAATTTAAATTTAATTGATTATAATAAAATATTAAAATATAATTAAATTTTTGTTTCAAGATTTTTTTCCTATTATCAATAAATTTTTCATACTTTTTTATTGTGTTTGGATTGATTGAAATCAAGGAAAAGATACGCGAAAGAACAATAAATTTTTTATTATTTTATCCGTTGTTTAAATTTTGATTATTTTGATTGAAAGTTGTTTGTTCTTGATTATCTTACGTGACACAACCCATAGCTTTTTTTTTTAATCCTAATTTTAATTTTTTATACATGTTTAATAAATTATTTTATTTTTTAAATAAATTAATATGAATCCCTTTTAATTTTATTGTTGGTTTTTTCATTTTCATTTTTTTATTTTTTTTATTTAATTAATTTCAATAAAAATTATCAAAAATAAATAAATATTTTTAAAAATTTTATTTTTTGATGTACAAGACCCACTTATATCAAATTTCATCTTTTTCTTTTGTGAGAATAAGAAATCAATTTTTTATCCAAATATCACTTTTATTTGAGTTTTTTTTTTAATATTTTTTGCCTTTTGCCTTTTTATTTTTTTAATAAGATAATTTTTTAATAAAAAAATTGATGAGTAAAAATGACAAAATAAAACAATTTTGACCTAGAACAACATTTAAGCACCCACTTAATTATAATAACAAATTGACAAAAGAAATTACCATTTTGTTTTAATTTTTATGTACGTTTTAATTTTTGTCACTACCATGTAATTGTAAAGGGATTATACCTTATTTAGCCCTTAAATTATTGTAATTTTTTTAATATGATACCTAAATTAAAAATTTTTTTAATAAGGTATCTAAACTTTTTCTCTGTGTATTAATATCATCCACAACCTAACTCCATTAAAAGATTGCTAATGTGGCCATTTTAACCAAAAACTGACATTTGACAAAAAAGAAAAAAGACATGTCATTTAAAGCAATTATACTTATGGCTACTTACAGGTATTTTTCTTGACTATTCATAAATGAATTTGAAAAAAAAAAGGAGAAATTAAAAGTTTTAGTAAAATAAAAAAAATTACTTCTCTTTAAATAAAAAATCTTGAATTCTCAATATCTTTAAGCTGGTACACTCTAAAGATCTTCAAATTCAAAGCTGTTACCCTTCACCAAATCAAGGGCAAATTAAGAAAGCAAAATGGTAGAAAAAAGATATTGAGGTTTTGTTAAAGATTCATTAAAGAGAAGTAGATATTCTGGACACTCATAATGAAGTTGTAGCTCGAGAATGAGAAATAATTTTATTGTCATCACTTGTTGTTGGGGAATGATGGCTCCAATCTATGGGAAGAAAACATTGAACAATCTAGGAAGAAAAATTTAAGGGTGTGAAAAATTCAAAGGGGTATTATATATGTTTATTGATTTATACAGAGTTGGTTTTGTGTTAATTGATAAATTTTATTTATATTGTCTTTATTTATTAACATTTAAGAAAGGTATAATTTTTTTTTTCTTTTAGCATTTTGTAGGGTGTGAATTGTGATTTTTTTTGGTGAGTTGAAAATATAGAAGATGAGTATTCTTTGGAGAATGAAAATACAAATTATAATAAGGAATTGAAATTTGATTAGGACAAATTACTAGCTAAAAACAAAGAGTTAAGGAAAAAAAATATTGCATTCAAGAAAAATGGCAATGACAATAAAGTTAATAGGCTTTTGAATGAGATTTGAGTTCTAAAAATGAAAAAGAAATCATACAAAGATTTGGTAGCAAAGGTTCAACGACTAATATGGTATTATAAGATTGTGTTGCTAGTTTCCTGGATGCTATTTTTTTTTTATTTTAGGTTTTATTTTATTATAGATTGAAAACATTTAAGAATTTTAGGAAGTATTACATATTTTGTTCTAAACTAATGTAAGAATGAATTAATGAAATGAAAGCAATATTTCAAGGATATTATTAGTTTTCTTCAATTAATTTGAGTTGCCAATCATGAAGTCTAAAATTGGTGAAACTGATTTATAAATAAGATGAAACAAATTCATTGATTAGGATCCAATAATAGGTTTCATACAACATCTAATTTGTCTGGTTTCATCCAATGTAAAATCATTGCTCATTACACAAACAAATTGATCATGAATATTCAAAAATAGCAAAAAATAACATCCATCATAGTCATAAACAAAAATTACAAAAAGTTACAAAAAGGTATCATGTGTAAAAACAACATTCATATAAACTTTTGGAAAGTGTTGCTAGACTTGGTGTTCTTTGACTTTTTGTTTCCAGCCTGGTTTTCTTGTGTACCTTAAATCTTGTGTAGAAGAGTTAGAATGTCATCAAGTGTTGTTGTAGTTTGTTTCTTCCACTTTAGGCCTAATAAATCATTTCTTAAATCTTATATTAAAATCATTAAAATATTACCAAACAATGCATAAAAGTAAGTCATATCTAGTAACACTGTATAAATAGGTTACCTTAAAAAAAACTAGATTCTTCATCTTCGTATCTAGTAATACAATCTGAATGGCTCACAATCTCTTTGTTCTAAGAACCATCTACAATTGCTGTTGATGTTTTTACACCTTTAGCACTTTTTGGAGCAAAGATCAACATCTCTTCTTTTACTCAAGGTTTGTTAAAATTTTATTCATTAGCATAGATACATAAATCCTAAACCATCTAACAACAAAACAAAAGTACATAATAAATGAGCCTTACATTCAATATCTACAATCCTATCTTTTCATTAACATATATGCCCATTCATTTACTACAACAAACTTGGTAATTTATGATAAATTTTTTAAGTGCTGCATTGTATTTCATTACGCAAAGTTTAAAAAGGTGATAAATAATACATTTTGTTACACTTTTATATTGTTTTTCATATTTTATATGATGACATAAAAGATTATCACATGATAATATCATCAAAATTTTTCTGTTAAATTTTATTGTCAAATTCATTTGGTGAAAAATTTTTTTATGACTTTTTTTATTTTAGGTGATGTTAGAATTTTGTCACCAATTTAAAATTTTATCGGTGACAAATTTTTTTCTAATAATTTTAGGTAATATTATTAATTATTGTCATAAATTGTACATTTTAGTTAATTATTAATAACATTACAATTTTATCTTGTCAATTTATGGTGTTATATAACGATAACATAAATGTTACAAATTTTTACTACCAAATTTAATTGGTAAAAAAAATTTGTGATGTTTTTTATTTTAGTGACATTGTAATTTTATCATCAATTTAAAATTTTATCTGTGACAAACTTTTTTGATAGATTTTAAGTGATGTTATTAATTTTTGTCATAAATTAACATCTTAGTTAACTATTAATGACATTACAATTTCGTCACATCAATGTATGGTATTGTATGACGATAACATAAATATCACAAATTTTTACCATTAAATTTATTTAGTGGGAAATTTTTTGTGACTTTATTTATTTTAGGTGACATTTTAATTTGATCACCAATTTAGAATTTTCTCTGTGATGAATGTTTTATGATAAATTTTAGGTGACGTTAGTAATTTTTGTCACAAATTAAACACTTTAATTAATTATTAATAACATTGCAATTTAGGCACATCAGTTTATGATGTTATATGTGATAGCATAAATGTCACAAACTTTTACCACGAAATTTATTTCGTGAAAATTTTTTTTGTGACATTTTTTATTTTATGTGACGTTATAATTTTGTTATCAATTTAAAATTTTATCTATGATAAATTTGTTCTTATAGATTTTAGGTGATGTTATTAATTTTTATCACAAATTGAACACTTTAGTTAACTATTAATAACAATGCTATTTCATCACATCAATATATGGTACTATATGGTGATAATACAAATGTTACAAATTTTTACCACTAAATTTATTTGGTGAAAATTTTTTTGTGACATTTTTTATTTTAGGTGACGTTATAATTTTATCATCAATTTAAAATTTTATCTGTAATAAATGTTTTCTGATAGATTTTAAGTGACGTTATTAATTTTTGTCACAAATTGAACACTTTAGTTTATTATTAATGATGTTGCAATTTTGTTACATCAATGTATAGTGTTATATGACAATAATATAAATATCACAAACTTTTACGATCAAATTTATTTGGTGAAAATTTATTTGTGATTTTTTTTATTTTAGGTGATGTTATAATTTTGTAACCAATTTAAAATTTATCTGTGATGAATGTTTTTTGATAGATTTTAGATGATGTTATGAATTTTTATCACAAATTGAACATTTTAGTTAACTATTAATGGCATTGCAATTCATGACAATAATATAGATATTACAAACTTTTACAATCAAATTTATTTAGTGAAAATTTTTTTATGGTTTTTTTTTTTTTAATTTTAGGTGATGTTATAATTTTGTAACCAATTTAAAATTTATCTATGATGAATGTTTTTTGATAGATTTTAGATGATGTTATGAATTTTTATCATAAATTGAACATTTTAGTTAACTATTAATGGCATTGCAATTTCATCACGTCAATGTATAGTGTTACATGATAATAACATAAATGTCACAATTTTTTAAACGATGTTATAATGTCATTATCTATCACTAATAAGTTCAAATCAATGTATAATTTACAAGTGATGATTTTACTTAGATTATATATATATCTAAATAGAAAAAATTTTAACTACACTTAACCATACTAGTAACTTTTAAGTAAAAAATGAATTTTAAATATTTATTAATATCCATACAAAAAAATAATTTTAATTAAAGTTTCCTTAAACTACACCCTAAGA